AACAAGATATTTGCTTGCATTTACCGTAGAAGGCATTCCAGATACTCACTGTTATTAAAATAGTAAAACCTCCACTCCTCGTTACAAATGCCAATAATCTGTGGAACATGAGGCGCTGGAGGTTCTAAAAAATAACTTTCAGCGTCGTGGGTCACAAGTAAGGGTTCACCGTTGGGCACAGCCGTGCGTCTCTCTGGCGTTGGTTGATAAGGCAGGTCCGGTTGACTCTGAAATATCAAATTTGAAATAATAGAATATTTTTGTGTTGTTTGTAAAACCTGTAGTACACGATTGTATACAAGAAGATAGACGCTACACCTTGAAACAAATATTCTGTACGAGGGTAATTGTACCCAGGCACTGTACTTTATTTCTTTACTGACCTTCATTTTCTCCGCAATTAGCTGATAAGTTGCAGTTGTTAACTTCTCACTTGCTGTTTCCATCAAAATCCTTTCTGCTGTTTTGATGTCTGTCACGTTCTGGGCTGATATAAGAGATGCTAGACGAAGGCCCATTTCAATGTGATCTTCCTTATAAGCCCAATTGTGATAAGCCGTTCCACTTTGAACGATTGCCTGGCTTATCAAACCTGAGACAGGGGACATGAGAAATAGTTTTCCGAGATTCTTCGTAAATTGATACACTGATTGGCTGAGCGATTAGCGTTTTTGTTTTTTCTCAGATATTTAATGGTCTCCGGTAGTGTAACTCGTTAAAATAAATCCCCGAGGAACAAAATTTTCGACTTTTGGGGCCGAATGAGTACCCACGACTCTACCTTTGTCCCGACTCGGGTGTCAGCGCCGCAGGCGTTTGTAGATTTATGCCAGGCGCGTCGCAGCATTACAGTGTTTCGTGAGATATCGCGAAGGCTGTTGCGCGAGACGTGGTCTGGCGTACATCTACCTTGTAGTTAATAAAGCATTCCGGTAAAGCCAAAATGCAGAAGAATGGGAGGAAGAAGAACACGGGGATCACTATGCTTTTACATGGGACTTCCGTTTTATTGTTCCCTGCATTCTTCTGCATTTCGACTTTACCGGAATGGTCTATTGATAAAGACGATCTGTGCCAAAGCTGCCGATCTCTTTGTAGCCGCGATTGTCGTGTCATCATGCTACCAGCCCCTCAAGATATCTTTCAATATATAAGTATGGTCCACCGACTGAAATGAAGTTATCACCTAGCACGCGAGTTTAAAGTCTCGCGTACATCATCATCTTCGCTTTTTGTTTAAAAAGACCTTTCAAACAGGCATTAAGATTGACTGGGTTGTAGAGAGTAAAGAACTCAACTAACAAGTGACGACGCCCAGGAACCTCATCAACATTAGGTTAAGCTGACTAGTTTTATGAAAGGCTGACAGCAGGGACCGATGGCCCTACAAAATGGTCGGGCCGATGTAAACGTTAACAAGCAGGCCCGCCCTTCCGCCAAACAGAGTTGCCAGTTCCACTTCGCTGCGTCGGCAACTCCGTTCGGCAGGGGCTGGGCCTGCTTGGCCTGCCGGCGGTCTTTATGTTCAACGTGGTCATTTTCGCCGTATTTTCGTCGAAAAAAAGCACGGTGCAAGATAGAGTCAAACGGGCTAAATTTTCGTTCAGAGGGTTCTTCTTTTACCTATTACCCAATAGGAGACCATTAAAAAAAATGAAAAATTTCCTACTTTTTGGACCAACCCCCTTCCTTATTTCCCCTTTTCACCCCCTTAAGGAAAGTTGACAGGATTTGCACCAGGCGTTTCGTTGTCCAGGAGTGACCCCGTAGATACCCTGAAATTTGTTGACTACTAGCTCTTCTCCTTCCTCTTAAAAGGACGACGCACAGACGGACAGGCAGACGGACAGACACAAGAGCTGTTGCATAAGCCCGCTTTAATGCTTATTTAAAAGCAGAAGGGCGGGCTAAATACAACAACGTGAAATTGTTCAAGCAGTATCCTTGATATTCAATCTTTTACCTTTGGTCTCGGGTAATATAGTCATCCAGCTGGCTAATGCTCCCCCAGCTGACTGTCCCCCAACTGTTACTTTATTGGGGTCCCCCCCAAACTTGGCTATGTTTCTGTTGACCCATTTCAGTGCGGCGATAATATCTTTCAGTGCACAATTACCAGGGATCTCTTCAGTATCAAGACTGCCGAAACCTGCCACAATGTAGAAACAGGATAAGAATTGTTTTAAAAGTCTGACAACTGTACACTAGTCTAGGTGACCATCTTACCTAATGAGTTTACTCGGTATTGAATCGTAACGATTACAATGTCTTGTTGAACAAGAAAATCAGGTCCGTACATTTCAGTGGAGGGAGAACCTCCTTGAAATAGTCCTCCGTGAATAAAGAAGTATACAGGTAGATTCACGTTTATAGTCTGCGGAAGTAACATAGGATCACATAACAAACAAGCACAGAATTGTAACACTGTTTCACAAAGAGGAAGATGTGTATGCGACAAAAGTTGCGAGGACTGTTTTTGACTCTAGTGGGGGTCAAAATTTCTTCTAAGTTCTCAAAACAAAGACACAATTTGAAATTGATCTACTGATATACTCGATTTTTAGCCCGCCCTTCTGCTGTAAAAAGCTACTGAACGAGCTCATGCAAACGACCTGGTTTCTGTTTGTTTGCCAGTCTGTTCCACTAGAAGGCGATTTGTTAGAGACTTGAAATTTTCAGAGTACATTAAGGTCCACTTCCAAACAACAAAACGACAGCAGCTAAGCCGAGGGGGTATCCACTCAGGTACTAGTCGGGTCGCCTGTCCGGTAATAGTTTGGTAACAGAGGTAACAGTCAGGTAATACACTGCTCATCAAAATTAGCGGGCGGATTTTTCAAACTGACGTAGATCCTATGTTTTTTGAGTAAGGAAGCTGAGAATTGGCATGCAGGCGTCCCAATCATTCATCTCGAGGCTCAGGAAGTGCGCAAGCCGTTGGCCACCCCTAACGAGCTGTGACCCCCTAGAGTGGAGGAGGGTGAAAAAACCGGCCGTAAAAACTCTAAAATTGTCACTTTAAGTGCTCGGAAAGTCAAGATTTTTCGTGAGTCGACCCAAATTTTTGTTCTCTTTCGAACGGTGTAAGCAAAACTGTGATCGGAACAACCCACCCCCTTCCACACTTACCCCCACCTCCCCAACATTCATCTCAAAGGCCGCCGAGTCGCAGGCGCCTGCGGTGACGTTCGCGCTCGTGAAACCGATGTGAAGACGGTACTGCACTCGTGGACTGGGGCGCGCCGCGGCTGGACCAACACTTGCACCAGTCAAAAATGGCACCAACAACCGCAAAATTGAGCCCCAACGCCTGCATACCAATTCTCAGCTTTCTTACTCAAAAAACCTAGAATCTACGTCAGTTTGAAAAATCCGCCCGCTAATTTTGATGAGCAGTGTAGATGTAACAGAAAAGTAATAGAGGTAATAGAGACGTAATAAAGGCAATAGAGACGTAATGGTTGGTAATAGTTGCGTATTAAGGGGGCTTTTATCTCCCAAAAAGCATTTTTGGTACATTTGCCAATTAAATTAGTCTCTGTAGGGATGGAACCTGAGTTTATATTTGTCAACACATGGGATGGCTTAGCACATTAACAATATCAGAATGAAACGAAACTAACATTGAATAGGTCCCAGGTGTGTACGTTTATTTTCACAGGATTTCTTCTTTTCAAGTTAACGCGCAGGATTTCTCCAAGGAAAGTGGGTGATAAAAACCTGGTCAATAGCTCGCACGTTTCTGTTTATAAACGACTACTGATTGACACAGGGGTTTTACTGAATTTTTAAAAATAGAAGTTATCCTCTATTTTGCTTTTAAAAATATATTTACAAAGCCAATTATTATGATTAATTTTTAGTTTTCAAATTCAGTAATTAATTAAGTAATTCAGTCTTTGATAACCTGACACAAACAGGCTACTTGCCAGTTTTTTATCACCACTTTCTCCGGAGAAATCCTGCGCGTTAACCTTAAAAGATATCCTATAAAAATAAAAGTACACACTTGGGACCTATTCAAAGTTAGTTTCATTTCATTCTGATATTGTTAATGTGTTAAGCCATCCCCTGTGTTGAAAAATGTACCCTCAACGTTCCATCCCTACACTTACAGTGGCTCAGAAAGTAATTTTAATGACAAATGGACCAAAAAAATACTTTTTGGGCGAAATAAAAGCCCCTTTTTGAAGGCAATGTATAGGAGTAGTCAGGCCACGATTTCAGAGAGTGGGTACCCCCTCGAGCTAATCCTAGCAATCTTCCTTGAGGTAAGGATGGCCCACGGCAAGA